GTGTGTGTGTGTGTGTGTGTGTGTGTGTGTGTGTGTGCATGTGCGTGTGCACACATGCGCATGTGAATATAAACACAAGAGACTAATGAATGAAATGTATTTGTCTGGCACAGCTGAATGAAAGGGGTGGGGGGGTGCACAAGACTGTGTAAATGCCTGGGTGTGTACAGCACGGAAAGTAGTATGCTATGGTAAGACCTGATCCTGCCATCTTTATGCCCCAAGCATCACACTGGAAGTTTGGGGATGTGGATAAAGCTCAACCTGAAGGGGCCACATCACCTTTGGCACAGGATGACCCAAAAATCAAAATCAGATCCCAAAGGGGAGCTTGATGGCTTTTCCACATGAAAAAGTCTCCCTGGGTCTGCAGTTACGTGACCTTGGTTTCGAAGGCCACAATCCCAAAGACAGACCCAGCTCCTCTGTGCAGTGTCTAAATTACCCTACCTCTTGAGGGTGCTGAGGGGCAGGCGTCAGGAAGGGATTGAGTGGCGTTATGGATGCTAGAGGACCCGCCATCCAAAGCTGCACTGACAGTCTTGCCTCCCTGGGAACCCAGCAAGTTGGTCTGACAGCTTGGAGCTTTTTCTCCAGCCAACCCTCCAACCCCATCTAAAATGTAGGGGGGTGGGGGACAGTACTAGTCCCCAAGCCATTCAGTCCCCTTGCTGAGTGGAAGTGGGCGCAGGGTGCAGAGTGGGCATGCACCCTTGTATTGGCATCCCTTTGCCCAGAACCTGCCACTCAAAGCAACATGTAGGGCAGCAAAGCTAACATCGAGGAGGGGAGCATCTGAAACCAGAGCAAGCAGGGCTGGGCGATGGATGCTCACTGGGAGATCTGTCTCCTCCCCTGTGTCTCTCCACTCATGGTCAAAATGCTGGAGATATGTCTACTTACAGCTTGGTGGAAGACTCCCTGGTGCTGAAACCCTCCTCTCTTTTTTTTTCCCTCTCCCTCTCTTTCTCCTATAGCTGCTTATCCTGCTGCTTATGGCCAGATTAGCCAAGCATTTCCACAGCCACCTCCCATGATCCCACAGCAACAGAGAGAAGGTGAGTAAAGAGAGATGCTCTCCATACCTTCAAGCCAGCCCCATTGCATTATAATCTCTTACGTCTACACAGCTCATCAAATGCCTCATCCCTTTAGTCTGCTCTTGCAGGCTCCCTCTTCCCTGACATCCTTTCTTGCTTACGGTAACCCGCAGAAACATTAGGTCCTCTCTGCCACTGGTGGGCAGCTTAACTGAGCAGCCTGGATAGCGACATTTTGTACAAAAGTCGTACGTGTTGTAGCTGGTTAAAAAAAAAAATTCAGTTTATAAAACTGAAGTTGCATTTCATTCAAAATGTTTCACAGGAATGTGTCAATTTTGGTGTTGGGTACAGAGGAGCAGGGGAAAAAGTCAAAACTTTTCCACTGGGAAAAAGTCAAAACTTTCCATTTTGACAAAGTCAAAATGTTCAGTCTCCATAATGTTTAACGTTTCAAGAGCATCATGTAATGTCAACCTTTACATGATGTTAAAATGCAAAATGGAAACTATTCTGGGATACATTTAATGCAGTGTATGTCATTTTATGCTTGGGACATGAATGTAACACAAATGCCAGCCATTCAAGATGGCACTCAATCCCAAGGGTCCACCTGAGCTTAGTGGCCTGTTGGGCTAGGCTGGCTAATGGCAGGCCAGTGTCTGTAGCCAAAAGGACACAAAGAATTTGTTTGGCTCAAATCCCTGCAGCTTTGATTCCCTAAGTAATGGCATATGCATTTACACGTGGGTCCACTAAATGAGACCTATTCCCATGAGCCCTGAGCCAGGATCAAACTCCAGCATCTAGAACCACAGCACAATGCCTTGTTCATTTTGCTATCCAACACAATACTGTTGAACCAACACAGTTGCAAATCAATTTGGAGGTGATTTTTTTGGTTCATGAGAAACTGTGAAATGTTGGGTTTTGATGTGGAACCTGCCCCCACCCAAAGTCATAGTTTCCCATGGGAACAGTAATTCCAGTTCCTAATTAGCTCTAGTATTGTCCATGCTGCATGAGCATTGCACATCCCTCCATGCTGATGCACAGCACTTTTGGTACCCAGTGGGGCTAGATTAAACACAGGGCTGAGCCTTGCTTAACATGGGACCTCAAAAGTTGCAAAAGGTTGTTGTTTTGGAGCTGTTGTGCCCTTTTAAGGCACCCTTCACCTCTGGGGGATTAGGAAGAAAAAAATCCCCAGGGACAAATTTTGGCTACTGCCCGGCTTCTTGCAATGTCTGCTGCAGTGTCTAGTACTGGCCATAGTGGGAGCCAGGATCCCAAATTAGATGGGCCACTGGTATCATTTAGCTTAGCCATTCCTGTGCATTTTGACTGCTGGGAATTTGTGACCGGGGAGGGGAGGAAAGAGCCTCCAGGAAGGCCAGTCCATGCTAACAGGCTGCATTTAACCTTTTTCAAAAATGTGAATAGATACAAAAATGCAGCAAGTGCTAACTAAGTAATAAAAATCTTAATACTCAGCACTGATACAGTGCTTTATATCTGCAAAGCGCTGCACAAACATTGATTCTTTAATGAAGCAGGCCTACCACAACAACAACATTGATGATCACGTTGTTAATAACAATGCTAACCCTCGTCTCCCAATTCTCATTCTGGATAACAAGCCCAGAGCTGTTTGGCTCCTGCTACCAGCCTGCAGAGACTACTCATTACCTACAAATAGAGGCAGCACTCAGTAGCTGACAGTGTACGGGTAGGAGAACATATTCAAGCTGATCACAGCCTAGGCAAAGTTTAGGTTTGGATAATGAGAGACAGGTCACAATCTCAGCTAATTTTCATTTAGTCTGACTTGCTCATGCTTCTATAGCTCTTAAAAACCCAGAAAAACTCAACAAGGGAGAGAAGGAGAGAGAGCTCACTACAGTGGAAGCTCAATCAGGGCTGTGCAAACTGTTGGCTTCTCTAATGCATGCCAAAACCAGAAGAGGTAGCAGACACAGCACTGGAACAAGAGCGACAGTCTCAAAAGCAATCACTGCGAGCGTCTACATGAGGCACTTACTATGCAGTAGCCTAATAATACTGCGCAGTAGCGTGCCACTCCAGAACCATGCTAATATGCTACTGCACAATGTTATTAGGCTACTGCGCAGTAAGCGTCACAAAAAAACCCGTGCTCCGACACTACTGTGCAGTAAATGCAGTGCATTCAGTTAATGCTTCATTAAGGAAGTACTAAAATAAATGCACAGTACCTATGGTGCATAAATGAGCATGTAGATGTGCCCACTATGGAGTCTATGAGTGCTTTCCATCTGGGTTTGTGTCCCTCTGGAAGGACACTCCAAATGCATCCTTATGGTATAACCCAACTTTGGGAGCCTTTCCAAGTCAATGCCTTCTTTGTGAACGTTGCAATTGGGTAGTCAGTGCTGTATGCCACTTCCGTGGGTCCACATCCTACAACCAGATTTAAGTGGAAACAGAATGTTTCCATAGTGGTGAAAGTATTTGCAGATATTATGAAATATTCACTTTTACCTGAATTGTGGATCTCTGTGCTCAAATTGGATGTCTGATCCTGAATGACTGTGGCACTCTCTACTCCTGCTGGGCTTGAAACTTCCGGCGCTTACAGTGGTGTAAAGTAGGGGTGTGGACACATGACATGCTCGTGTTAGTGTTATCCGCTTGCCCACAGGTGGAAGGATGGAACAGACACAACATACAGCCTACACCAGTGGGTTTGTTTGAATTTGGTGTAGAATTACACCTGGAAAAATCATGGTTAAAACCACATTGATGTCAGTTACCCCGGGGTATGTAACATCCATCCACAGTTCAACCCATCGCATCTGTTTTCTCAAGGCAAATGGGTCATTTGTTGTGTACTCCCCAGTGGCAAGGCTCTGTAATACCAAGAACAACCTGCTGTCCTAAGGTAGATTGCTTGCCTGTCCACCCAGATCTCAGCATACAAAAATGACAGAGATCATCCTAGTGTAAATGTGTCATGTGTCCACACTTTAGGAATAGCTTCTTTGAAGTCGTTGGATTTATACCAACATCAGTGAAATCAGAATCAGGCCCTGAGTGTCTTTGAGTCATGTCCACCCATTTAAGCAACAGCAGCAGGATTTTGCTAGAGAAAAGCCATGGCAAATGGGAGAGACAACTTGATTCTGCTCTGCTTGGCCTAGACTGTCAGTAGCACTGCCATTGAGGAGCTAGATATTGGACTGACTTGCAGACCCACTGGAACAAATGGGAAAGTTGGGGCTAAAAAGTTCCTGTACTGCACTCAGTAGAATCAGTGCCAAGTAACCAAGAGCTGCCCTCCTCCCTGTCCCTCACCTCCCATTAAAGCCACTGTCACTGGAACCACAAAACTCCCAAGTAATAGGAGGAATCTCTTGACTATGGTTGAGGAAATCTTCCTCAGGGGTTGAGCCAGGGCTATAGAGAAACAGCTGCGATCTTCAGAACTAGAAAGATAACTGATGGGTTTGACTTAGCTTTCTTTTTCTCAGGAAGTTCACACACACACACACACACACACACACACACACACACACACA